AAAAAAAAAGAAACACCCAGAGTTTAACACATTCTGCATTCCCTGACTATGATTTGTAAGCACTGTGACTCAGTTAAAGCACTGTTGTATTTACCAGTAAGTCTTGTGTCTGGTTAACATGTGTAACCAGTAGTCCATTGTCTGGGTTTTGGCCAAGTCCATGGATGTCCTTCTGGTCCAACTTCTTCTTTGGATCTCTGTCATTGTTTCTCCTCACACTACAAAACACACAGTGAGTGGATGATCAGTGTCCCAGCACTAGACCTTGCCTCCACATTGCCAGGGTCTCCAGAGCCAACTGGGAAGAGGTCCTGTAGAGTTCTGATAAAAGGTGGACCCCAGGTTCTTAAGACATTTTATTCTACCGTTTTGGTAGTGAGAAAATGGAAGTCCTCGGGCATAAGATGATGCCATGACCATTTATCCAGTCTCGCTTTGAGGCAGGCATCTCCCCCCTCAAGTTTTTGCTGTTGTCTTCATTTGAAAAATCAGAGAGGATGCTTACCAATGATCTTCCAGAAACATATTATCTTGGCCATGGCAGACAGGACTAGTATGTGTAGCCATTATAAAAACACCCAACGCTTATTTTCCTAGGGAGAAAAGGAACACCAGAAAAGAGAAAGATAAATGCAGCATAGAGACAACAGCTTTGGGGGTATCTATAGTTATCTCAACTCTTCTGTCATTCATTCACTAATGCTTATCGAACACCTCCTAGGTATCAGGCTTTGTGCGAGGTGCTGAGGATATGATGGCGAACAAGGGAACAGAGGCTTCTCAACTTTAGCATTTTTGACATTTTGGGCAGGGTCATTCTTGGTTGGGAGGCTGTCCTGTGCGTTGTGGGATGCTTAGCAACATCCCTGGCCTCCACTCACTAGATGTCAGTTTCCCAAGTTGTGACAACCAAAAATGTCTCTAGACGTGGCCTAACATCTCCTGAGGGACACAGTTGTCCCCCGCTGAGAACCACTGAGCTAGAGTGGGGGAAGACAGATGTTAAAAAAATTAAATATAGTCTATATAGAAATTGTGGCAAGTGCTAAGAAGGATGTGAACTGGATGATACGATGGACAGTTATCAGGAAAGGGATCTGTTTTAGCTAAGGTGGTCAGCTGAAAGCTTGACCTTGAGCTTAGACCGTCATGAAGGACAGAAAGGAGGTGGCCATGTTAAAGAGTATGGTGAGGGCTGGACTGTGTGGAGAGGGCAACGAATGACCATAACGATTTTAAGGGTGGTGGGGGGGAATACTGAGATGAGGTTAAATTCTTTTCTTTGTGAATGATATCTGTGCTCAAAGGGGGGACCCTGTAGCCTACTCCTTACAGTTTAAAGTCAGCAATGGACAGGAACAAGATGAATCCATCTGGGAATTTGGAATTAAGAGCTATGGGGCCACCACGTACATTCAGAAGCGGCAAAAGCCTGTCTTCAGATAAAGGGGAGTAAGTGGTCCTTCCCTGCCTTGGTTCCCCTGGGGCCATTCTCTCCCACCCTTTTCCTCCCTCTCTGCTGGCTCTTTCCTGGTCTCCCTTCCAGACTCATTCTCCTCTACCCGAGCATTTTAAGTTGGTGTTCCTCAAGGATAAATTGTGCCCTCTCTACCCTTCTCTATCCTCTTTTCCTAGGCAGTCTTATCCTTCCCTGTCCATGGCCTCAACTACCATGTACACACATCAGTGACTCCCAGTGGCACGTCAAAAATCTGGACCTCCCACTCTGATGGCAGACTGTATTCATCGGCACTGGATATTTCCATCTGGAGTACCTCAAACTCAGCATGTCCAACACTGAATTCATATTCCCTACAAACCTATCCTCTTTTCAGTGTTTCCTAGCTCAGAGAAAAGAGCCACTCTCCATTACTTATATGAGTCAGAAACCTGGGAATTACTCCTGACACCTCATTTCCCATATCCAATCCATCACCTACTCTTGTTAATTTTCCCCCTCTCAAATCTCTCCACTTATCTCTGTCTCCAGTGACATTCTCTGTCCAGGCCACTGTCACCTCTGCCATAGACAACTGTAGTAGACCCTAACTGGCCTCCCCACATTCCCTCAGACCCTTCCCATCCAGTCTGTTCTCACTGAAGCCAGAGTGATCTTTTAAAAATACAAACCCAACATCACACCCCCTCTTCTCCCTCCTGGTTCAAATGATTCAAAGCCTTCCCTTCATTTCTAGGATGAAGACTAAGATCCTTTGGATGGCATTTGAGGTCTTTCATGATTGGGCTGCTGCCTACCTACCTCTCCAGCTTTTCCCCCTTCCCCCCTGCTCCCTATTCTGTGTTCCACGACCCCTCCCTTCAATTCTTAGAATGTTATGCAGTTCCTTTAACCACAGGGCCTTTTCACGTGCTGTCTTTGCTCCGGAACATCCCCTCCCCCTCCCTCAACTCATTCTTGATATTTCAGTGTGTCACTTTCTCAGGGAACTGTTCTTCACCCTCCCACTGTATTTCAGGTTCCTTTAGTGTTATGTAAACTCTCACAGAACTGTGCTCCTTTCTTTCAGAATACTTTTAATTTAGAATGATACATTCTTTAGTGTGATTTTTAAAAATTGGTGTCTCTCTCCCATTAGACTGTAAGTTACAACAGAGCAGGAACTGGTAGGTGATACACATTTGGGGGAGGGGAGGTGAAGGGAGAGGAGGAGGTTGAGAAACTGCCTTGGTTCTTTTTTTTTTTTTTTTTTTTAAGATTTTATTTATTTATTTGAGAGAGAGAGAATGAGAGAGAGCACATGAGAGGGGGGAGGGTCAGAGGGAGAAGCAGACTCCCTGCCGAGCAGGGAGCCCGATGCGGGACTCCATCCAGGGACTCCAGGATCATGACCTGAGCCGAAGGCAGTCACTTAACCAACTGAGCCACCTAGGCGCCCCTGCCTTGGTTCTTGAATATCTAAATGCTGATCTCAGGCATTTGTGAGAACTACCTTTACTTTCTGCTCTTGGGTTCCACGAAAAACCCTGTTCCTTATAATCCCCCATCTTTCTGCTTAAGTTAGCTCATTTAGGTTTCTATTACTTGCAACCAAAAAAGTATTGGCTAAGACACAGCAAGTGAGAGACTCGGAGGTTGCAGCTTGAAAAATAGAGTGTGTGTTCTTACGAAATCATTAAATAAAATAGCCTAATGATGGTGCAACTTGCTTTTCTCTCTGGGGTCTTTAATCTTTTACTCAGAGGATGCTTTGTTTTTTGGGAAGCACCAAGATAATCTGGCAATGTTGTTAATGTTAAAAAATGTTTAAAAAACAACTGGCTTTCCTTCAGGATGCTTGGCTGAGAGACCAGGGGCAGAGACTGTTGAACTAGAAATGCCTCGTGAACACTGGACGCCCCACAGTGTCCCAGTTCCCTCTTTTCAGTGAGTGATTAACAATCTAATGAATTCAGAGGCCTGCACGACTGGATTCTAGGGTGACTGGTGTGGCTGTTGGAGGAGGAGGGTGTGGTTGGCATAAAACTCAGGGCACAATGTGGTGTTCTAGAAAGCACCGGACCTTGGGTTTCTTCTTCTGCAGAATGGAAGGGGGTTCCTAGTAACTGCCCTGCCTACTTCAACACAGTCATCAAGAGACTGAACCCCGACACCGAGAATGTCAAAGAGCTTTGTAAATACAGAGTACTATAGAAATGCAGAACAGCGTTGGAAGAATGTGCTGCTTCTTCAAGCGCTTTGGCATAGGACATGTAAACGATCACTCATCCCGTAAACATTTTTAGGATGTTTTCTGGGTGCTAGAAAGAGCTGGTACTGGGGAGGCAGAGATGAACTGGACACAGCCCTTACCCTCCCGTCTTTGCTCAAACGAAACCTCATTAGAGATGGCTTCTTTGATTACCCCATCTCAAATAGTAACCCTCCACCCTGCTTTGTTTTCTCCAGAATGTGGTTTGTTTTATCATCTGAAGTACTACATTATTTACTTACTTACCACCTTTCTCCCCCACCCATCAACCCACTAAGAGTAAGATCCCTGAGGGCAGGGACTTAGTTATGGTCACTGCTAGAAGACTTTTGTGTAGTCAGTGCCTGGAACTTAGTAACTCCTCAAAAAATATTTGTTGAGTAAGTGCGCTCAGGGCACACCTAGAGTTTAGACAAAATTGGGCCACGTTGGAGAAGAGAATATGTAGGCTGGCCCCTAGGAGATGGCATCACGGTCAAAGGGCAAAAGGTAGTAGCCCTGGTTAGTGGATAGATAAGAGAAAACCTCCAGCTAACTTCTTGGTTTGCTAATAGCTGGATTCTCCTGAACACCCGGGATAAAGCCATCCCCAGGGTTTGTATTTTGAATGGCCAAACAATCTAAGTCTTGCCCCCATCCAATCCATTTTACATTCTGCTGCCAGGATGATCTTTCTGACATGCAGAGTTTTCCACCTGTTTAGAACCTGCCATGACTCCTCAGTGCCGTGGATCATCAAGCTGAACCTTCCTTGCAATGTTTACCGTTCTTTTCAGGACCTGTTTCTTGCCGACTCCTCCTCCTTACCTCCTACCCGTCTATGGTCCCTGGCAACTCCTACTTACAAGCACCTTACTATTTCATACCCTTCTTTGTTCAAATTGGACCTGCTTCTAGAAACACCCTTAGCCCTTTTCATTTGACAAGAAAACCCAGCAAGTCTTTCCTGAACCCCATTTGCTGCCCTCCAACCCCCAGGAAGAAAATAATTTCCTCCTATTGCTGCCCCCGGGCTGCCTCATACCAAGTTGTATCCGGAGCAGCCCCGCTACTTCCTTGTCTGCGGTTGCACCCCCAGCACCCAGCACAGCGCCTGGCATGTAGGGAGCAGAGGCCCACGGGCCCAGGCTCCCTAAACCTCTTTCACACTCGCTCCAGAGCTTGGCGTCTGGGTGTGCCCCACCCTCTCTTACCATCCTGCCAACCCTGTGACACTCACTCTCACCTGCATTTCTCCATTTATTTCTCCATCTTTGGGAGAGGGGCCCCTGGTCATCCCAGGACTCTGCTTTTCCTGGTTCCCACCTCCTCTAAGCTCCAAGCAACTCAACAGAGGCACTCGCCCTGCCAGGAAGTGTTAGCTGGTCTCCAAGGTAACAGACTGCACCACTGCAGCCTGAGGCAGGGACAGGGGAAAACTCACCCCAAGGAAGACATTACCACTTCGTTGTTGACAACAGCCTTTCCCCAGGCACTCTGCTTTTCTCCACCCCTACAAAAGCCTGGAAGCAGGATTTGGACTTCTATTTCTAGAATCTCTGGATGAGCAGAAAACTATGGTTTGGACCAGTAGAGCCGTGGTATGTGCTACCTTCCCGTAGTAGGAACTGAAGACAGGTAGCAGAGAACCTGCGCCATGCCAGGCGGGAAAGCTGGTAACTGTCTCCTCCTCAGTTTCCCTGGGGTCCCTGCAAACATACACCCTGAGGCAGGTCTGGCATTCCCTCACCTCCACCAGGTCCAGCCCCACCCAAACCTGGCTAATACAGCAGCGGGCTCAGTGACCTCTTAGCGTCGGAAGAGATCATCTACTGCCGTGCTTCCTAAACCCAGGTGCCCATCGGAATCATCTGGGTTG